TATATGTATATATATATATATATATATCATGGGCCAATTGAGTCTCCTCTCCGATGTAGGTCAACTGGGCTTTTATATCTTGAAATGTCTATGGGCTTATCAAGGGAAACTTTATGGCCCATTATGCCAAACCCGTTAAATCTAAATTGGAGCTCCAATATGCTCCTGACAAAGCCATTCCTTGTAAGGATTGTATATAATGGGCTATTATTGTGAGATATATATATATATATATATTCTTGAATGGTGGCCTCCACTATAGTCTCAGCATCGAACAACAGCCACTCAAATAAACACAAAGAATGAAAAGCAATAAAATAGGAACATAAAGTACTTATTTTTATTAATATATAATCCTAAAAAATGGCACGCTTTCCACCTATCATTTTTATATAATAATAATAATAGTAGTAGTAGACTGTGCTATCATCATCATCATTATTATTACTATTATTAATATTATTGTTATTATTGTTGTTGTTGTTGTTATTATTATTATTATTATTATAAGCGTGTCGGGGAATAAGTCTCGGCTCCGCCTAACAAACGCCTTTCTCCTTGCTCTCTTCCTCTTCCGCTCGACTCGTATTTGGGAGAAGAGGAGAGGGTTCGAAGATTCGAATAGGTACGTGTTTGGTTCGATCCTGGTGTGTTTTTTTCGAATTATTGTCGTTCTCTTCGCGATCCGATCGATTCTGGGGTTGGTTGGAACAGTCGGGCGTTCTTGCCATGGCCTCCAAGCGGATTTTGAAGGAGCTCAAGGATCTTCAGAAGGACCCCCCTACTTCTTGCAGTGCAGGTACCGCCGATCTAAATAAAGCTAGATTAGATTTGTGATTTCGTCAAATTTGGTTCGTTTGCTTTCTTTTTCTTCTGATTACGACGAGCTGCTTGGGTTTTAAGGTCCGCATGCTTGGGGCATAGAAGGGTTCCCCCTTGAGATCGTTGTGGAATGGTTAAGATCTGAGATTTTCGCGGTAAATATGTATGTTTTTGTTCTTCTCTTAAGTTTCTTGTACGACGGGCGCTGTGACCCCAGTCGTCTGGAAGAGTTCTTTCTTTTTCCTCCCTTTTCCCTCTTTAAAGCTAGTTTTAGTGCCGCAACTTGGAACCTCCTCATGGTATTTTATTATAGGGGCTCATATTGAATTTAGAGGTTGAATTCTGTTTAGGTTCTTGGATGATGCTACTGGTGTGCACATATTAGCTGATGGCCACGAGAACTGATTATTTGATTCTTTGAGGGTGTTCGGGTGTTCATTCACGAGTGATGTTATTGCAGATGCTACATTTAGGATAGAGATAAGTAGAGCCTATTCATGCTCCATTCTTTTTTTGAAGTAGCTGTACATAAACTTATCCTAGACATCAAGTATTCTGAAATAAATGTGTCATACTCCTTAACGTCATCTGTTCTTGATATCATGCTCATCCTAAACGTCTCTCTTGTGCTAGGTCTTATTGGCTGCTGGGTTCAATTGCTGATGGTTTAGATCGTCTAATGCATTTATATCCAATATGCAGTAAGAAAGTGTTTAACAGTTGGAATCTAGACACATATTGAAATTTCGTACCGCACCCGAGTTTCGACTTGGCACGGTACGATACTGTATACCGAGCGGTATATTTGGGTATATCTTTCGGTGTATATATATATATATATATATAGTAAAAAAAAATCTTTTTCGGCGACGTTGCCTCTCTTCTCTCGGGCAGGGTGACGTCGCCTCTATATATATGGGTATATATATATAAGTACAAAAAAAATCTTTTATATATATATATATATATATATATATATATATATATATCAAGGTTCGTAATTTCGTACCGTATTGGAGTTTCGACGTTCGCTCAGGACGGTACAATATTGTATACCGAGCGGTCTACCGAACAGTACAATATTATACATTGAGCGGTATACTGAACAGTATAATATTATATATCGAGCAGTATACCGTTCAGTATATATATATATATATATATATATATATATATATATATATATCGTCCGATAACGGGCGGTCCGTGTATCAGCCTGTTGGCGGATCGGTACGTATCGCCCGATACGGGTGGTATTATTCGAAATTGAAGACCTTGATTGCGACACTACAAATTGTCAATGCTACTTACACAAATTTTTGTGTGCCATTGCAATAATAACAGTGAAGCTCTGACTCAATATATACATATGAATATATATATTTGACTCAGTATATTTTATCATCTCAAGAAAAGAGAGAAAAAAAAGATTGGTTCACGCTTCTTAGGTACTATTCCTTTTGTTCGTAACCTACATTGTGTAGGACAGAAGAATTTCCGGTGCCATTCCTTTCTCATATCTCAGCATTACATTGCCTCTTTATTTTGCTATTCTGTTTGGATCAATCTGCCATTTTTACCAAATAAGGTCTTCAGCAATGTCTTTAAAGCGTCATGAAGGAGCTGAAGGATCTTGTCACAGATCCTTACTGCAGTTGCAGCATATGTATCTAGGCTTCTTTATGTCTTGTACCCATTTTCCAATTATCTTCTCACAGACCTATGAGATTATGGATCCTTTTTTAAATAAACTTTTTGCTTTTGAGGCTTAACTTTTGTGCCAGTCTGTCGTTGAATCAAAATGGTGGACAAACATGAGCTCTCTCCTCTGGTGAAAGGACAGAATCAATTGCTGCTGTTAGGTCATTTCCAGATTCACAGTTTTCTGCAGACATAGATCTTTATTGTAACCAGAATTTTCTTGAGATGAACTTTGTATTTCATCTTCCAGTTAAAAGGGGCATTCCAAGCTTGTAACAGCGAGCCTTTGATTGTCACTTGTTTTAGCTGGAAATTTTATTATATTGTTTCTAGTATTTGCACTGTGGATTTTGCAATCATGTTCATGTATAAATGATATGGTACATTCTCTAATGTTTGAATGTTTCATCCATCATTTAAAGGGCGAGTAACATATCTTTTTAGTTGTATAAATATGCTTTTATTTCTTATGTTGGTGCTCTAAACTAAATACACAAAATCTGCCAGCTATTGTTGCTACGCATTTGCTAGAGTGCTGCAAAAAAACAATCCTTGTATCAGGATATTATCAGACATACAAGGTGAATCGTTCAATTACATATTAGGCAAGCCAACTTCAGCAGATGGAAACGAAAAGTCTCTTGTTTCTTAGAAACATGAAAAATATGAAAACACTTAACTGGTGAAGCATTCATAACTCAATTCAATCATATGTTCACTTTTGTCATTGCATTGTGTCTATCATTTAAAGATTGAATATTTGTATGTTCTGTAATAAATGGACTTTGCAATCACATGTTTTGTGTTCATATGCTATATATTGTTCAGGTGACTCCCACACACTTCCAGCATAATGTGTCATGCAAGAAAACACTTACTAGTTTACTTGTATTTTTGAGCTTAAAGCTTGAATTTGTTTCTCCCGTAATCAATTTGTCAGTAACTTTATGATATTTGAAGACTTTCTAGGATCATAAACTTTATATTTACTTTGTAAGTTCGACTGGTTTTGCACCTTAATAGGCCCTGTGGCAGAAGACATGTTTCATTGGCAAGCTACTCTAATGGGTCCCCCTGATAGTCCTTATGCTGGGGGCGTCTTTCTAGTAACCATCCACTTTCCTCCAGACTATCCATTCAAACCACCCAAGGTACCATAAACTCCAGTGAATGTTTAAATTTTTTGTTAGGCTTCCTGTTGGCTTGAACTTCCTTGTGTTACTTCAAGATGTTACTTAGAAACTGTTCTTTTATCTGGATTGCTTAGCTTTCATTTACCTTTATCTTTTAGTAATGCATAATTTAGGAATAAGCTCAGTTCTAGTTATCACTGTGGCTGTAAGTGCAGCATGATGCATCAATAATTGATCTTGACAAATGCAAAAGCTGTTCAGACATATCAAGCATAAACTTGATATGCTACTGCTTACCCTAATAACCTTCCTAAGATTAAGATTATGACAGCTTCAAGAATTAAGTGATGACCAAATTAGTGGCTATGCAGCTCGATTGCTGCATAGGCTTCTGTTTGTGAAGGAGTTTGCTGCATGTTCGAATCTATCTTGATAAAATTACAAGTTAATTATGATATATTTTGTTCACGGAAGATTAGCATCGAGAAAGATTTTAGTAAGGTTTTGGATGATCTTAGTCTTGGTCCTTTCTTGGTGATTAGAGAAATGTCTTAGTGATCGTAATGGAACTTTTACTAAATAGCTTCCTCGTAGATACCTGTTTGGAAAGATGTGTTTTTCATTACTATGTCAAAATAAAAGGTGGTTATTCACAATGAAATTTGGATTGCAAACCTAAAATTTCTGGAAAAAAGAAAAGGAGCGAAAAACACAATTTAGTGTTGAAAAGAAATGTTGATGAGGAGTCTTTGTCTTCTTAAAATTTCCTTAAAAAAGATTATTTATGAGAAAAGTATCATATTCACTCTCACAGTCTCACTACAGGGCAAGGTTCTAGAGATACAAAATTAAGAAAAGTCTCGACTTCTTTGAAACAAAACCTTCATAGAGCAGGAACTCAAAGCTAGATGTTTGGTTTCTTTTTGTCCCTTTGGTGACATTGAACTAATTGTTTGACTTTTACATTCTTGTAATTCAGGTCTTCGGCAGGTTTTTATTTATTCTGTAAATTGATATTGCTATCTTGAAATCTCTGCCATTGCTGCATGTGGGTTCTTGATTAAAGATGTCATTGAAGTAATTTTCCTGGTTGTATACAGAACAGCTGTGTCATTAACTGATTTTACTTGATAGTTTACAGATGAAGTGAAGTAATTTGGGCCCACCACAGAGATAATTTGGGTCCTGGCTGCTGTAAAAAATAGGATTAATATGGTCTAACTGACACTGTCACATGATGTGAAGTGTTTGCTAAGTTAATAGATGATTGATTCTTGCAGGTAGCATTCAGGACAAAAGTCTACCATCCAAATATCAACAGCAATGGAAGCATTTGCCTTGACATCTTAAAAGAGCAATGGAGCCCTGCATTAACCATTTCCAAGGTTACTGATTTATATTCTACAATGGTCGAGTGAAATTTTAAGCAGTTTTTTCCTGGGTTTCTTGAACCATAAACATTCACTAGTTACACATCTAAGATCTAACTATTCATTGCCATCATTCCCTCATAGAAGAACCAAGCTATAGACTTAATATTTTTCCTGGAATTTTGACCCGTTAAATTTTCATAGGATGTCATGGTAAATGTATTTGCTTACATTTGAACTATCAACTGCCATTTATGCTTCACAACTATTTATTAAAGTTCATCCGTTTTAGTTTAATGGATTGGTTTATGACACCACACAGCTAATTTTTTGTTCCTTTATCAATGATGGTCTCTTATAATCAGTAACTTGATTGTCAGCTGATGCAGTTTTTATGGTAGATAATTAAGCTAATTTTCATAAGTTGGCAGTTTGTGGATGGTGTAGCAGGTAAAGAATAGTTTTGATTTTCTTCATGGAGACATTCCAGTTTAGTAGGTTTTATAGATGAAATGAGCTATGCTTATATAAAGTAATGCACATGATAAATGATCAAAGCATCAATCACAATATTAATTCATCAAAGTCTTTCACAAATGTATATTCTACAGATGTAGTGTTACTAGTCTCAACTGATTTGTCAAAATCTATCCCTTTTTGTAGGATGTGTTTGCAGTTCTAATTAATAACCTAATAAAATTGATTGAGCAGACTACTATCTTTACCACATTGGATGCATTGTTCTGAAGGATCTATTTTACGTCTTTTCCAGAAAAAAAAAAGAACATTTGAAAACTCCTGGTACCAATAAGTTAGTCCAACATAAATCATTGAAGGTTTAATGACAATGGTATATCAGTTAACAGAAGGCTAAGATCTGATATTCCTCATCCATTATTGAAAGCCAAATCTCATAGGTATGTCTTTGAGTCCTACAGGCAGACTACGTCAGTTGGTATAAAAAATGAAGAGTACTCTATATTTTTGTGACCAAACGATGGGAGTTCTTCAATTCATATGATCTTAAATAGAAGGACTTGGGAGGGTACAAATCTTTTTTCGTCTGATTGAATCCTCATTTTGGACGTCCAAGCACATGGACTGGAGTGGTCTGTTCCACCTCTAATCTGTTTGATCTTGTCTGAGGCTGGTGCAAGGTATTTGTTGTGGTTACTATATCTAGTATTAAATATCCAATAAAAGGGGAGGTAGGCCAATTGGCAAGGCTTAACCTCTGCTTGGTTGCTAAATAAGTGAGTTGTTTTCGGGTTTTGTAATAACCAGCTTATACGTTTGTGACTACTTTTGTATCTGATGAGAATTCTTTTGGATAGATATGTTGGTTCACTTGTGGAGCAACAATTTAAGATAAGTTACATCACTCCATTAATGCTTTTAATAAGGGTGGCCCATTGCATGAGACTTCCACCCTTGTGGGATAGCGACAGTGTTTAGATGCCTGCAGGTTACTTCCTCATGCAGAAAGACTGTTTTTCCCTATTCAGACCTATGAAACTACAATATACCACCGTCAGCTACATAATGTTAAAGATAAGTACTGAAGCCCTTGATGTTTGCTTTTGGCTATTTTTCAGGTATTGCTTTCAATCTGTTCACTTCTGACGGACCCAAACCCTGATGATCCATTGGTTCCAGAGATTGCACACATTTACAAGACTGATAGTAACAAGTATGAGACCACTGCACGGAGCTGGACCCAGAAGTATGCCATGGGTTAGATGTGGTGGCTGGAGGTGGAGGTTGTTTCCTCTCTCCCTGTGCTCTATATCAGGTGGTGCTTTAACTGATATATATATATATATATCTGACATGGTTTATGTCTGTTATCACTCTTTTGTTATATTTATGAAGCAGATCATGCACTCGAGGCTCGAATATTTGCATGTGAAATTACAGTTTGGGCCTATGCACCTCAATTTCTTCTGGCCTAGACTCTTGTGTTATCCCTGTTAAATGGTCACTTTCTACTAATGTAAAAATGGCTGCTCTCCTATAAAATCTTGTCAGCCTTAGTTATGGTTGGTTTTGCGTTGCTTTCTTTACTGTTCTTTAGCCTTTTCAGTCTCAATATGACCATGCCAATTCTTGTAACACATCATGTGTTGATACTGATTGCTTTAGTTTGTCTCAAAGATGTGTTTAGGTTCCAAAAGATATTAAGCAATCTGAAAGCAAGTGATCATGTCTGGAACTAACCAGAAACATGTATATGTCAAATTTCTTTTGTTTTGCATTGTTTTTTTTTTTCACTCGTTTAATTCCCCCTTTTTTTTATGCTCTGGTATTTATTTTCTTGCATTGCACTTTGCACAAAAGCTATGCAGGATTGTCTTTTTCAGGTTTTGGAATGGGAAATTGGTTTGACAACAAAAAAAAAAAAAGAAATTTTGTAAGGAATGAAGATTAAGTTTTGGGTTCCAAAAGTATCTCAAATTAGGAGTTTGATTAGTATTAGTAGGCACTGGGAAATTAAATTAAAGCCTAATTTTTATACATGGCTGATAAACTTTATAACAGATGAGAAGTGAAGAACAACTTAAACAGAGAATTAGTTGGTAATGCTACAAAGAAGGTTCAATATCTCTTATATTTCTGGTCCTCTTTATCTACCATTGGTTGCAACTCTTCAATATTAAGTATTACCCATAGTTTAGGCTAATACTGTAACACCATAGTTTACTCTCACAAAAGAAGGCTATATTAATATATGAGAGACGAGTAATTATCTCATCATATCGGATTATGATTATTGGTTTTGTAGTTGATATATGATAAAAATAAATAAATAAATAAAATTATTCGTGAATATAATCAAAGAGTATGATGATGATCATAGGTGAGATATCACATCATAGTTGACCCATATGTACCATAATAAGATTTCATTGTTGACTATGTTAGGCATATCAAATATAAAAAGATGGTAATATCTCCATTTAATCCCACTCCATTCGAGCTCAATTGGCATCATCATCGTTATGTAGCTTTGAGAGAGTACAACTCATTATAACTGTGTCTGCGTGGACCTCATCTCATTCAAGACCACGACCACCACTCCAAAGCGCCCAGTAATTTAATGGTAGGAGTGGAGCCGTCGTGACTCTTCCTTTACGTCGGAGACGCGTTAGGGCCGCGTTCGTCCACCTGTAAAGCATCTCTCCCATGTCTCCTCTCATAAGACCCTCTCACTCTCTCCCCCTCCTCGACCTCATCCTGTCTGATGGGTACGGATAGAAGCCTCGCATGGGACTGCGGCAGCTCCCTTTACGACTCCTTCGAGCTCAAGTCCTTCATACGGCAACTCGACTCGGCCATCGCCGCCCGGTGCATGTCCATGCCGCACCTCTCCGAGACGCCTCCACCGGCACTGGCGCCCCCCAGAAAGAAGCGATCCAGGTTCTCCAGATCGGTGCAGAAGCTCCTCCGCTCCGTGCTCCGCATGAAGTCCATGTTCGGGGTGCAACTGCAGTCGCACGGGCACCAGGAGCAGGCGCTGCACGCCGCATACTTGCGGTCTGGCCCACTCGAGTCCATCCCGGAGGTCTGTGAGAAGGAGACGGCCTCGCCGGAGATCGATAGAGTGGTGAGGAAGACCGTGTCGGAGCGGTTCACTGCCTCGACTGTGAAGCCACTGGCACCCATCTCATGACGAAGATTTCGTTCCTTGGGCCTGCTTCTGGTTTCTACTAATGATCCCGAGCAGCTACTGGGGTTCCAGTGAGAGGGAAGAAGCCGGGGGTAGTTTGGACATGGGGAATTGGACTTGTGGGCGATAGATAGAGGTCACGTTATGTGTGCAGTGTTCTCGTGGGTTGTCTTCTTCTTGAGGTAGATGAAACAAAGGTGATGTCTATTAAATGTACACAGTAAAGATTAAAGAAAAGGTGATTGGAAGATGATGTGATGGCTAATTTTATTTTGTTGTGGTCATAATACTTTTGTCATCAGTGCAGTCTCTTCTTCTTTGGAGCAGTAGAATGAAATGTTTATGATGATGTTGATCTTTCCTAAATTACATATTGATGGGACCTATTGCACTAATCTTGTTCTGTGTACATGAATCCTTCTCTATCTACATTGATCCTTAATAGATTCCACATGGATGGGACCTGTTGCACTAAATCATCATCCTTTTCTTCTATGTTAGATTTCTCATGCACCTTTGTTTCTTTCCTAATTACATGGCTCAGTTTTTGCATCTACTGCAATGGAGCTCATACATGTTCTTGATTCGTTTGACCCGACGACAAGCATACATACTGATGACATTCCAAGGAAATAGATTTAGCTTGAGATGCTGGAGTTCCAATCACAAGCATCACACTACGAATATGTTCTACTACAGAGTACATCATCTCTCATCTACACACTGCTAATTGAAACACCAAATTCAAGTTAAAATCTATAGCAAAAAGGCAGCAGCAGATGCCATTGCAAATTCTACTTATGTTATAAGGGAAGAATTCCTCAAAATGATTGAGAAGGGGCTTCACGTACTGCTCTGCTTCTCTGTCGGTCACAGGTTATGGAGGAAGCTCGAAGCATCGAAATGGAAAGCTGGGTCGAACCCCACTGAGTCGAGCATGAAGGCGATGTCCATGGCGGAGGAGGTGGCTGCTGAGGTCGTGGCAGAGATGAAGTCACTGAGGTCGGACTCTGTTATATGCAGAGGTGGAGCGTCTCCGAAGCTGCTCACCCGGCATGGTGATGGCGAGAAGTGCTTTGATTCCGAGGTTGCAGGCGAGGGGAACGCAGCCGAGAAGCTGCCCATGAACTTGTTCTCTGGGGTTGGGGGCGTACACAAAGTGCTCATCGGGGTCGAAGAGAAGGAGAAGGGAGAATTCTGGTCTGGGTCTTCGAAGCTCGAGCCTTCTGTCTTCACCTTCAGGCTGGTTTGGAAGCTCAAAAGCAGCTGCTGATCTTGACGAGGACGCTGCTGGCTTTGGTGGATGTCTGGTCGGTGCAGGGCCGAGGTCGCGACGGTTCGCGGCTTCTGGGGGCAAGTGTGCTCTCCTCGGTACGTGATGTCGAAGACGGAGGGGTCGTCGTCGGATCTCTGCACTTGCTTCATGGCGAAACATCCGACGGTGTTGCGGTGAGTGCATCTGAAGTAGCTTCTGCAAATAGTGGCCTACTGTGAGCACCGAGGGAAGAAAGAGTCGAAGAAGAAGAAGAAGCTTTGAATGGTAACCTTGGGTACTTGGCTCCAAGGATCTCCTTCTGCCCGTACTTTCTCCAGCTATGGCCGTCGTCGAGCCCATCCACCCCTTCGCTCGACGAGATTCGAATCTGGCTGGTCCATTTCGGCAGAGTCTTCCTGCACATCCACGATCCAGTAAGAAACCTCCTCTGCTTTGAAGTAGAAGAAGCTCCCCGCCCCGAATCGATCCCTCCACCTACCTCTTCTTGCACATCTCCCTGCGCTCCTGTTCCTTCAGGGCCTTGTCGGAGTTGTCGCTCCCGCCGCTGTTGGAACGCGGCGAGTCCAACGCTGCGGCGCTGGCGCCGGGCCCCTGCCGGAACCGCTCGTGGTCGATGGATTTGGCCATGGAAATAGCCCGCTTGAAGTGAGACTGCGCCTGCAGCACGAGCTGCTTCTTGTGCTCCACAGGCGAATGCACATCGAGGCACGCTTCGAGCTGCCTCAATTGCTCCTCCCCGTGCATTAGCACCTCGACGAGCGAGCTGAGGTCCATCGCCCACGTCCTAAACCAGCTCAGCTATAGAACAAGAAGCCAATGCTGTGTCTGATGCTTCCACGAGAGCAACAGCCACATGGATTCACCGGTAGTGCCGCTCTCCGTCTCGCTCCATTCCAAGGAAGGAGAAGAAGGATGACGCAGATAAAGAAAGGATGTGAGTGGGATCTAAACCTGACGAGGGGGGAAGGATTATAACGAGAAGGGTAGGGTTTGTGCCGATGACGGGAGATGGAACTTTGACTAAGACCAGGAAGTGCTTTTTTCTTTTGTTCTTCTTCGTTCCTTTCATTTGCTGGTCAACCAGAGACCGGTCGTTGGTCAAAGGAGAATAGGGATTATGAGAGAAGGCTTTGTGCTGACCGATTCAACGCTCAAATCTTAGAGAGAGAGAGAGAGAGAGAGAGACGAGTCAATGGGGAAGAAGGGAAGAAATGGCTACGAATCTTCAATCTATCTTCGTTACCGCGTTCGGGATAGAGTTGGAAGAGAGAGAGAGAGAGAGAGAGAGTGTGAAGTGGTAGCAAAGTGACGTCAAGTGCAGCATTTTAGCTTACGTTGCGGTGACGAAACGAGCAAACCCTTCGCTTCACACGCGAAACACAACTCAGCTTTTCGTATTATATATTCATAAAAACACATATATATATATATATATATATATATATATATATATATATA